TTAATCTTTTTCTGGTTAACAATCTTAAGCTGACCCCAATTCGCCTCCTGCGTTAGTATTGGGAGTGGCTTACTCCCTTTGATATTTTTTACCACAATCCAATCTACCGCCTGTTTCTAGAATCCAATGAGATAGAACATTGTGTAACGTCTAAGTTAATTTACAATACGTATTCTGATCTCGAATCATCAATGAAACTGACTATAGCCTATAAATACAGCGAGTGACAAGCAGCAGAGAGCAGAGGCGCAGACAGCGTGAGAGAGTTATTTTGGAACGTGTGAGTGCTTTGTTTACAGTAGCCATTCCTTTGAGTATCTGTACCTTTTTGCACACTGTGTTTTATGTCGATATTGTACTGATACCAGCCACACAATATACTGTAAGTTAATATTTTTCAATTATATTTCTTTTTGACTTTTGTACTTAATTATTAACTTAATAAAACTTATGAATTGTAATTAGCCATGTCCCAAGTATCGTATTTCTCTGTTATTGTTTTTATCTTTTGGTATCGTCTTTTGTTATTCACTATTGTGGAACGGGCCATAATTTCTCCCTACGAGTAGCAGTGCGAAAGAGATATCTTTAAAATGCAGAGCCGTTATTTGTATCCAAAATATGGTTTACTGCATATCTTACAACGTCGCGCATATCAATATCCAGCTATGCTACCTGGACTTGATAATGTATAAAATATCCCAAGTATGTGTAATGTCTTTCTGAATGCCAATATATTTACCATAGTTCAAGTTATTTAATTACTACAGCCCTATATCTTTGTTGATCAAATCGGCAGGTTCCAAAATTTTGGAGTTGATAATGGCGATGTTCTGTACTTTTATGACGGCGACAGCACCGGAAACACAGTTTTAGCGGGAAATTTACAAGGTTACTGGGAGGAGTCCCAACTAACGAACTTTCGTATCCGTACAACTGGTCATAATTTGCTGATCATTTTTTATTCCTATGGAGCGCCATCTGGCCCAGGATTTACTGCTTCTTATTGGGCACATGGTATGTTGGTAATAAATTACATTTATTTTTGTTATCTTTTTATTGTAATAATTTCTATCATAATGCATGTGTATATTTCGTTGGATAGTTAACTCGTGATGTTTGGTTGCTCAATTTCATCGTGGGCTTAAATTTTAAACTATTTACTTTTGATTTAATGGTTAATTTCTTATAGTAGTCCATTTAATCTTAAAAAAAGTAAATTCCCTTTTAAAATTAAAATGTAATGTTACGCTTTTTATATAATTTTTGTCACAATAATTATTTCATTACTAAACAAACAGCATGCGAACCATTTACCTACGGCATCGACACATGTAACCAGAACTGCTCCTGTGAACAACAAGGCACATTGTTTTGCAACACTTTCACCAGCCAGTGTACTTGTAAAAATGGTTGGACTTCTACAACCTGTGATGTCGACATCAACGAATGTGTCGATCCCAACATTTGCCCAGATTTGTACTCTACGTGTTTTAATACAATGGGAAGCTACACGTGTGTCTGCAAGACTGGACTTCAGCTTAACGAAACGGGCCACTGTATCTGTAAGTTAATAGAATAATTTTTCTTTAATGTCTTATGGTATAATGTAATGTATATATATATATATATATATATATATATATATATATTAAAAATGGATGTCTGTATGTATGTATGTCCCGTATACGCTCATACATTATTCATCCTATTGCGAAAAAACTTTGGTGAGTTGTTGCCACAAAGCACAAAGATGCAAAGTTTTGTGACGTATTACAACCATGAACCATGTATGTGTAACACTGAAAAACTCAAGAAGCAAAATCAAAATCAAGGCTCAAGGAGAATATTCAAGTAATTTCAGATTTGACGAGGCCTAAGACAGGGAGATTCACTGTCGTGTATGCTATTTAACCTAACATTAGACAGAGTTTTAAGAAACATACACATTGACACCCGATTAACAATAACATGATACTGTCTGAGGGAAACGCGAGGCCCGCAACCAATCAACCACTTCAGTATTTTGTATATGCTGTTGAGGGTAAAGTATTAAAGACATATCAAAATTCTTTATTGAATTAGCAGACGCATCACTAAAAAGAGGGCTGGAAGGTAATTACAAACAAAAAAAATAAGTCAAGATGATAAGATAAAGACAGATAGATGAAGACATTAAAATTAGAAACCAGACTTTTGAAAAAGTAAATCAATTTAAATACCTAGGAATTTTACTACTTGAAGGAAACGAATTACAATTGCTAACAAAAATAAAGGAAAGAATATCAGCCAGAAACAGGGCATACTTCAGTAGTCAGAAAATACTCAAAAGTAAAAACATTACAAGAGAAACAAAGAAAACTATTTATAAAACTTTAATCAGACAAGTTGCAGCATATGCAAGGAAAACTTGGACTCTAACAAAAACAGCAGAAAACCTATTTAAAACATGGGAGAGAAAAGTTCTCAGGAAATGTTATGGACCAACGAAGAATGAATATGGATGGAAAATACGAACTTACCATGAATTGTATAGTCCATATCAGGATCCCACGATAGTATCCGAAATAAAAAATGGCAGGCTATACTAGGCATAAAAGTTAGAGAGATTGCTAAATGACAGAGGAGTGAAGAGATGCATCACCAAAACCCCAGAGGAAAACGGCTCAAAGGCAGACCTAGGCTTAGCTTGATTGATGATTTAAAAAAAAATCTACAACAACTGGGAATCTAAGCATGGAAAAGAGAAGCATTAGTTAGGTCTGAGTGGAAGGAAGTAGTGAGTTGGGCCAAGCACTTAAATGAACTGAAGCGCCAAAGGGATGGATGGATTACAATTATTTTACAATATTCCGTTTTGAGCCGGGGCCGTAAATTTGTTTTTATTTACTATATAAGCAATGCAAATATAGTTTCCAAGTGCATTTCTAATCCATTCATCCGATTGAGAAACAACTTTGCTGAGTTTTTGTTCTCATACCCGAAAAGGTTTCTAATTTGATACAACCATTTTACATTGTTCCTTTTGGGGCCAAGGGCCCTAAATTCGTGTTTATTTGCTATATGAGATTTATAAATACAATTCAAAATTGCTATAGCATGGGTGGATCAATCGCTAAAGTGTGTCAAAGAAATTTTGAGAATCCCTCATGCTTCTCGCATGGATAGCTGTATGTGGCTGGCTCACGCGTTAAAAAACCTTCTAATTTCTTTATGTGCGCACCAGAAGGAAAAACAAAAAAAATATTGTACACATAAAAAGTACTTCAAAAAACATAATAAAACACAAAATCTTCCTTTCGTTAAGTGCCATTGAAATACATGCCGTGTACTCGCTAGTAATTTTATTTAACATAATAGTGTAGCAGATACTTTTACAGTGGGCGCCGAGCTGCAGGCAAGCACATTGGCAATGTTTACGAACCAATTCTACCCAAGGTTCGATGGCCGAACTTTGTCTAGGGGTTAATTATATTAACTTCACAAACCATTGGTTATTAGAATGAAGTATCCTTATTAACACAACTAAAACGTCAACTGCCATTGCTCGATAACAACCATTACACCCCAACCATGCTTCATTTCCCCTTCCCACAAAAAACGTCACACAAATACTAAGCATGTTAGATAAAGCAACACATATAATCTCTATACGCAATCACAATATACATTTAAGTCCTTAACCTCAAGCAGCTCCTACCCTTGACGAATCCTTTTTATTAACGTTGATCTGGCCTGCCACTGTCAATCACAGTTTTGTAACACGTGGTCTACAGCAGTGCAGCTACGTATTAGGCATGTGTGTAATGTCGGCATTTCTGATCCTTGTTTTGCTTTAATCTGTTAAAGTAAGAATTAAATACGCCGTGCTCAATCCGCTACTGAGTTACCAAGCTCTGATGCAAAATTTGATACACCAAACTGATGAGAAAAATTAGCCTACAAACTGTTCTCATTTTGAATGATATACTGGATGTCAAAAAAATTCACCTAAGTGTTAGGTTTGACAACTGGTAATATAATTAAACTATTTTGATCGATATGAATTATCGTTACAATTGCATATAACCATCAAGCGGTTTCCAATCTAGAGGATGCTGCTCCTTAGAAGGTCCAAATTCTTTTACGAACTGGTGCTACTTATTCTCTCTCTCTGTGGTGAATTATGGATTCAATATATTTATAGCATGTGAGGTTAGGGTTCGAGGTCATTGGCTAATTATATACTGTTGGAAAAAATCACTGTAAACGCACAAAAAGACAGTTTGGAAGCCAGAAGTGGTCTCATTTATTGTTAGTATATGTCTATCCAGCTAAGTGTCAGGAACAAAGGGATATGGTATCAATCTGTTAAGCAAAATCTTCACATTCGAAGTTGAACAATGAAGGATAGTAGGGAAAACGCAATCAATGATGTATCCATTATTTCTTTGATAATAAACATGCAATTAAATAGTTTATTTATGTGATTTTAAATATTACATTAAAGGTAACCACATTTAGCCACTTTTACTACAAGTCCATGACATCAAACAACAAAAATTTGCCTTTTTTATCCATCAAATCCGAAATTGATCAGAAATGTTCCAAGTTCATAAAACAAGTCGAACTGTTTCCTGGAGTAGAATGACTTAAGGAGCAATAAGCGAAAGTAGCTCTACGTAAAGACATTAAAATATAAGTTAACATTAAGCAGTAGAATTATTATTTGGTTACCATTTAGCTATGTCATTGTATCATTGTAATAAATGAGAGTTGACACATTATGGGATTACAATTGCTGTTTCTGTAACATACAATCTGAAAATCTTGTATTATTTACTAAGACGTACGATGACAATGAAGAGTTCATTGCACTGGTATCTTTTTCCTCAGCAACTTGTGTATCAGAACAAAATAACTGCTCCGATGCTTGCGGTGTTATCCCAACTTCTGACGCCTGCGGTGACACATCAACAAATCCATGCCCTGAACAGTGCTACTGCCCCAAAGGGGCGCAACTAAATTCTTCCAATAACCAATCTTGTGTGGGTAGGTTGCGATTATTTAGCTTTACAATTTCAGTGTGACAATTTTAGAATCTTAGTTTAGTTTTCTTTCCGAAAGAGAAACATTCTGTTGAATGTTCTGACACATCCGATGCGTACTTTTAAATGAGATTTTGAACTCCCTAATCCCAAACTTAACAACAACAGCAACAACAACTAAACAATAACAAATTCATTGTTTTAGACAATTATGACGTCAAAGGTAAAAAAAATAATATGTGTCACAGGATTTCATTGCTGTCATTTTGGTGAGTGAAGTGTTTCCGAAATGTTCACAGCAGCACCCTGGTGTGCCAAATTTCCACCAATCGGGGAAATGAAAGGATGAAGGGTGCACTCACTCCAGGCGCCAACAACAAGGGGTGCAAAATTCATTTTCAAAGAGACCTCAAATGTGAATTTAACTATACAATTTAATGTACTTCCTAAAGACAAAAGGCTCCAAAATTTGTATTTTTTTGTCAATCGCGAAAAATTCATAGTAGGTTTTAGGTGAACATCTTTGGCACAATGATACATAACTTGACCCACCTGAGGTTCAGTCAACAATACGGATATTTTTGCTGTCATCACTAGTTTGCTGGTAGCTGGGACCAAACGTCTTCCCAAAATATTCCTTTTGATAATTTGAATTATTAATAATCAGGACGAAGTGCAGCCTTTCATCCCTCATCAATAATCGGTAGCTGCAAACATTGCCGTATATAATTCCCCGCTCTAGTATTCATCCAGTCTTTAAATGCTATACCTCTATCCGGGTGAAAGAGAGAGAAGGGTTGGACGACGTTACTTTTTTTCGTGGCCCTTGCAAATTAAATGGAGATAAGCCAAAAAAAATATAGGGAAAACGTAAAAAAAAAATGCAACAAATGGACAAGTAAAGGGAGCCCTTGAAAGACCTGTTGTTGTTTTTAAAAATAAAAAAAATAATAAAAAAAAAACAATATTACGTGAAGCAAAACCACCTTCCTGCCTTGTTTGACATTAACAACCTAGTCATTAAAGGGCAAACTGGCTTTTCTAAAACATAATTTCCTAAAGATATAGATAATGAGTTGTTTTTTTCCGGGAATTATTATAACATTTCAAAGTTTAAATAGTTGAAATATGACCGACATTGCCTTGTCTGGAGTGAAGTTAAACACATTTTATTTGGCTTTCTTTGCCGGTTATTTTGTTACAAGATGTGTTGCATAATTAGCTGAGCATTTAAGTGTAAGCTTGCATCCACGAAATAATGTCAGCAGTGACAAATTGACTAAGATTATGTATTCACATCCACAAACATGAAAGAAGCAATAGTCTTAGGCAGTGCTATGTGGCTTTGCCAGAACTAGAATGAAGACTTTGACCTGGCAAAAGGATTGAAAGTCTATTCGAGGCATCAATGTTAACAGAATCTGCCAAGCGGTTTAGCATTATGAAACAAATAATTGAAGCTGTACCATTGCTTTGTAATCGGGGTGTTTGATTTTGTGTGGCTGTTCACAACGCATTAGTGGAGAAGATAATGTAAATTATATTGGAGTCATAGAGTTGTCTCTCTGGGATTCAATTATAAAATAGCATGTATTGCAAGATACAGAGTCACAAGAAAATGGATAACGACTTCAAGAAAGTTATCTCAGTACCGATTCCAAAAAAACGAGTTATGTGCTGAATGTTCCTAACAACACTTCAGAAAGGCAGAAAAACTGGAAAGTACTTAACTACTATTGTTCATTCCACGCAAAGATTCACCCATGTTAAACAAACAACATTTATTTTGCATAAGGTGACACCTGATTAAAAGAAGTAGACATTTTTTTAAAGGATTTTGACAGTTTTCGCCACAAGCAATAAATCAGGAAAGGGCAAAGCAAAGATGATAGAAGAACAATAATAGAACCCCATATTCCACTGTCGGATTATCGTTCACTACTTACTTACTGATGCCTTTTATCCCGAATGGGGTATAGGCCATCTTCAAATCTTGAAAAAGCGCACTGGTTGTTCTCTCAGCTGTGTGTCTCACACACGAGGGTTAGACCGTGTTGTTTGAAAGTATAAAGCCTATTGTAGCCCACATTTCAGGCATCGCATTATCATTAGAAAACTCTTGGAGTTGAACCTAACTGCCAACTCAAGGAAGAGAAAAATGTAAGTTTGTCTTATGTCAAATCCTTCATTTGTGATACTGCCTGTTGTTTGGTACAGATTATTAGTTCCAGTTGATATCTGTAACAAAGTTATTCAGTACAGAAATGCAACGTTAGATGTCTACGTTTTCAACTTAAGAAGCTTGATTTCAGCACTGATAAATCTTCGGAACACCTGGAAAAATATATGGGATGAAGCTAAGCATGCTGCCTCTAATTTGGGTATGGTACTGAAGCTCTCTGGAACTCGGGCTGAAGCACAACGCAAAGATGATCTAAGATCAACGTGGTGTCAAAACAAGATAAAGTTGATAAATCTTCTGAGGACTCATATTTCTATGTAATATTTAATGTGTCTTCTATGTAATATTTAATAATGTTATTTGTGAACTCACTGTTTATTATACGAAAAATCAAAATTCCTGGCAGATTAATCGCCCTCCAGCATCATGGAAACTCTTGTAATGGAGATAAATCATTTGCTATCTGTTTATCAAGCAAAAATTTTAAAGGACCAACTGAGTCCATCCGACTTACTGAATTGGAAAGAGCTGTAAGGTTTCTCCAAATATTTATGTCTGGGTTCCGTGTTCTGTTAACGATTCATGCCACTGTCGCCTCTGCGGAGCGCTCATTCAGCAAGCTTAAGCTGATACAAAATTATATAAGTTTGAATAAATCACAGGGGCGATTGGTATGATTTTGCAGGACTCACTAATGCGCCTGATCTTGCGAAAACGATTAATTTTGATGATTTGATTCGCAATTTTGCCAGAAAACAGTCTAGGAAAGCACATTTGCGATTGGACTATAAATGTAATTACATTTCAACGAAAATAAATATCTAGCATTAAATAATTCATTGCTTATGTATACTGTTTCATTATTGTTTATTTACTTAAGTTTAATATTGTTTTATCTCCCTTTAACAGAAGTACTTTTTTTCTTTTTTAATATATTTGCCATATATTTGAATGTAATTAATGATGTGTGTAATTATTAATTTATGTGTCCACGTATAGGTAAGAAGGCCCATCTCTAGTCTTGCTCGAGCACTTAATTATCCCTTTGGTGTACCCTGCTTCTATAGTATAGTAGGCTTACCAAACTGTACTTTCTCCAAAAAGGAACCCGGTATTTTCATAAAATAATTTCTTCCAGAATGTAGTGACATGTTTTATGGAGAAGATTGTCAATACAAGAGTACCTGTAGCATTTACAACACAAAGCTTGTAAATCCAGTTGATGGTCTGTGTACTTGCTACCTAAACTGGACATCCACGGATTGTTATGCAGATTTTAATGAGTGCAGCGTCGCTGCTTGCAATTCCACTAACTCCTACTGTGAAAACATTTACGGTTCATATCAATGTATGTGTAGATATGGATATGAAAATGTCAATTCAACATTTTGCGATGGTAAGACATGTCATTGATCTTTATATTTATGTTTGGATAAAATAATGAAATTTGATGTTGTTCAACTTTTTTTTGAGACATTAATTTAGCGTAATGGTGTGATATAAACCTATTTTTTACGTGGCCCTCACTTATTAGTTAGATTTGAGTAACAAAATAGTTCAAACAAAGTAGAAACATAAAATCAATGCAAGTAAGTTTATTACGTGTTTCAAACCTCTTTACTAGAGCATTTTTTCCCCAAGGAAATGGACACCGTTGCATTCAAATTTATTTTCACAGAGAAAATTTTCTTTTTATTTTTAAATTTTACCACAAACCGAGTAGCTTTAAATAATTACTTTAAATATAAAGACCTTAGTGCTAAATGTACTTAAGTCACAAAAAGCACATTTTGAGATAATCACGTTCAAATATTCTTTTCGTCTATAAATTAAAATTATTTTTAAAATGTGTCAGATTTACATAATATTACAATTCCCAAATGTAGTTTTCATGCAACGTGTCTTCAAATGGAAAGTGAATTTATTAACAGCTCAATTAATATATCAATACGCCAAATCAATTCAATGGCATTTTTAATGAGATAAGAAGATGAGCATGCAGCCTACCAATTAAAAAAAAAGATATGATTAAAACTAGTTATAGTAATGAAAAAAAATACAACTTTTATTAAACTTATCAAACTGTGTTGACAATTTTTATACGATACTTTCTCAACAAAAATCAAAATAAAAATAAAATCATTTTAAAAAGATAGATCCACTAGTTTTGAGAACCTTAACTAACTTAGTATATTTTGTTATTTCACAGAAGAAGAAGCCTTAACTATATTATAAAACATCAAAATCTAAAACTAAATTGTGCATAGTTTTGAAAGTTTATTCATAATTTTTTTCATCTAATTTTAATTTTCTAACTGTTCTCATAATACCCTTGATGCTATAGACGACATCTGAAAATTTATGTATTTTTCATTTTTGTTTTCAGCAAACAATATTATTAGCTCCATAAAAATATTAGGCATAAACGTTTTGAAATGCAATCGTAATTCTAACCATGTATCAATTAAGTTGATTTTTTAAAAAAGTTTTTAATGGAAAAGTATTATTATTATTGTACTTTTAAAGTTTTGTCTCTAACCTGAATTTTAAAACAATGTTTTACAGAGTGTGGCAAGACTTTGACAAACCTTTCAGGCATCATATCTGCACCTTATTATTATTTTGAGTATTATAATTTTTATAATAAGAGTAATAATGAAGTTTGTTCCTGGACAATCAGTGTGGAAAGTGGACTTGTAATAGATTTAAGGTAAATTAAAATGTCCCCACCATTTGTTTTTACTTTTAGAGCTTACACATCTTTGATTAAAAATGACAACGAAATTTTGTAGAAATAATGAAAATCCCTGTCTTTTAAAGATCTTTAGGAATGTGTAAACAACACAAACACGGGTTACTCTTTTCCTGGCTATTTGTGTTCATTAATTTTCTTCAAAATGTGTTACTGCTACATAACTGATTTATTTTCAAGATTTTCCTATTCTTTTCTTTTAAATTTGTAGATATTTTTCATTAACGGATTAATTTTTACCTTTTAAAATAACAAGCACACAAAACAAACACACAAAAAAAACAACAAAAAACAATAACAGACAAACAAAACAAGAGATTGCTTTTAGTGGTCAAGGTAGGCTTAATTGATGCCTAGGTCCTACTTTACGCTAACACATTCATCTTTACTGAACGTGCATGTATGTGTCTTAATGTAAGAAACATGTCAAGTGTATTTGCCAACGTTGTCTATGGTTTTAATTAATGGCATCACAGAACGTTTCTTTCAAGTGACGTGCCAATACGTGTGCACAATAAACACAGGCAGCACTTGAACTAATGCATCGGTTTCTTTTTTAAAAAGTACATTCTCAAACAGCAAGGTGGGGAGGACAAAACCAAACAGTGGCAAAAGGGGCCTATAAAAGTCGAGAGGGAACTCTGCTTGACGTAGTTGTGTTATGCCAATTTTGTTTAATTACTAAATAGTAATGTAACTTTCATTTTTTTTATTTACACCTCTTTACTATATAGTAAATAAATTAATTAATAAAAAAAATATTTAAAAGATGAATTAAAGCTTTCCATCACAAAATAGCATTGCGTACATCGCTTTACATGTTAAAAGAAAATATTAAAAAAATGCTTATAATAATCAACTTATGTGAAGCCATTGCCTTTAATAAATATTTCCAAGTTATACCAAAGTCAAAGAGAAACAAAAATGTTTATTAGAAAGGTCTATGCATTTTTATGTGTTATCAAAACTGGTAATTTTATAGATCATTTATAAACGGTATTATTATATAAAGAAGACATGAGTAGTTTAAAAAATAAAGTATAAATTGACAAATATTCATTTGATTGATTTTAAAAAAATCATTATTATTATTAATTTCAAATTGTTATAACTTTTTTTTCAGATAAATTGCCAATAGCCACTTACCTATACTTTAAAACCTTTTTTTTTCTTAAATCCACATAATTTATTTTAAATTCACAAATTAGGAATACGAATTTATTCTAAAAAAAAATAACAAAAAATGGAACTGGCATGATAATCAAATGCAAGTTCATTTTCTTTATTTTAGTTTTCTCATAGATCTTATACTGAAATTTATATATTGACACTGTGAAAAATGAAGTCCACAATTTCTACTGTTAGCTGAAGAAGGCTTTATGCCGAAACGTCCTTGTTTTTTGTCCTGTTCTCTTATTCAAGCTTCCACATACCTCGTTTTGGTATTCCATAGCTGTATGACAATCGTGCTCTGATGTTAATATGCGGTATTATTGATGAATAGGCAAAGATATTAATTTTTGAGTAATCTTGGGTTTCAAAATATTTGGTTACAAAAGCATTGTTTAAAAAAAAATAATTTACTATTTAAAGATATTGGAAAATGTTGTAAAAAATTAATTTGTTAACCCTATAAATGTGTAAAAAATAAATCACTTTTTAATGTTTTAAAATTTACAGATTAGATTGCATCTAATTGCCCTACCACATTTTATTTGATATCAATGGAAACTTTATCTTCAGAATTTAGATAAATATACCTTCCTGTCACTTACGAAAGTTAACGAACACTTCAATTGGCGTTGAATAATAGTAAAAACTGTTTTTTTCTGACCTAATTATAGGTTCACCTCATTTCTGACGCATCACCCTTGAACTTTAAAAAAAAAGCACGCATTTGGATTGGTTATATGTGTGAAAAAGAATGGCATGTGATCGGTTATTCTTTTATGAAATTCGTTTAATTACGAGCTTTCTGTGCTCTGTTAATAAGCAATTTTTCAAATTGGTGTAACCCCCTGGTATGGTGTCACCCAATGCGGTCCGCAACACCTGAACCACATAGCTACGCCAGTGATATGAAATCTAACTCGACACCATATCAACTCGCAATGCTTTCCAAATCACACAACTTATATTCAATCCCCCTTGTTTATTTTTATTTTCTTGTAATCCAATCACAATCAATAACAATCATACCCCTGGTTCACGGTAACAGCCGTTCACCCTAAGAAGGTGATTCTTAAACCATTGAAGCCGACACAAATTAAGTTTGACAAATGGATATATGTCATACCATTGACAATAAAAAATAATAATTATAAATATTTATTTATCAATTTTTGCAATTCAGGCCTACATTGTTGATTTTAAATTTAATTTTAATTATCTAGTTTAAAAAAAAATCATTGACATATTATTAACCTTACAGATTTTCAGAGTTCAAAATGTACAGCGGTTATCACATTCCCGTTAGCTATGTAACGATTTACGATGGTTCAAATGTAACAGCACCACTACTAGGACGATTTGATGGACTTACCTACCACCAGGGAATTTTACCTCCCAATTACTTAAGATCATCTGGAAATGTGATGCACATTGTTCGCAGCGAAGAAAATTATTATCACTATCATAGTTTTTACGCTACTTACACATCGCACGGTAAGGACAACATTTTTGTTAAAATAAATAGACATTGACTTCAAACCTCAATAATGTAAAATTAGAGGTTTGTTGAGAATTGAAAAGGAAAATAATTTGACGCTAACAATATTTTTGCTTGAATCAAAAAAAGTATACTTATTTGACAAGAAAAATGTGACTTTACCTACGAAAGATGATCCATCGTATTAGACGATAGGGTTTCTCTGCCCGGATCTCGTAAATTTTTTAGAAATTAAAAAAAAAGAACTTCCAAGAAAATTTTCCCATCCCTGGAATTCTTGGGTCCACACTTGAAACGTAATCTTTTTTTTTTTTTTTAAATTAAATTTCAGTACGTCAAAACTGGTCGCTATAAACGAGGGCATGTAAATATAGTTAATAACGCTGAATTACTAGACATGTCTTTTAGGTTCTCGAGTGTTTTCAAGTAACGCCAACATATATATAGATGCAAAGTCAATTTTACCACGATTTATTTTTAAAAAGGCTTTAAGATAGGGAATGAAAACATTTTAAACTTAATTTTCAAATATAATTTTCCTGGCGATATATTTATGCTATTTTATTGGTGACATATTTAATTCCATCTTATTGGCGATATGACTGAAATTGTAACTCAAACTAATTAAAAAGAAAGCATTGTTTAAAATAAAATTAATAATTTTATTATTCCAATGTTTCATCCGACGACCAAACATTAATCCCTTCGCGAACCCATTTGCGGTCCCCTCCTAAGGGCTGAAAATGTGTGCCTTAAAAGCCTTATTATCCCTAGACTTCATTTGTCAGAATACTTGTGTAAGAATTCATATTAAGTTGTTGTTTTTTAAAATCGTCCAAAAACAACAAAACCTAAAAATTATATTCATTTATTATCATTACAATTTATTTATTTGTATATTTGAAATGAAGCCCTTGTTATAAGGTGTTAGAACAATTTGCTTGCAAACCTTTAGTGACTTATTACCGACCTGTAATGGATACACAACTCTTCGAGAGTTGAGTTGTTTTTTTCTACAGTCGGCGATACCAAACTTTTGCTTAGTAAGCATATTATTAAATAAGCTTGATATATATGTCGTGTAATGAAGCAGAGTGTACAAGTTACCTCTCAGCTAGCCTTAACATTTTTTTTATTCATTATTAGACAGTAAAAATAACTAAAGAAATCAACACATTTAAAGTCTAAATACAGTTTATAATATATTTTTAATTACATTAATTTTATACCGCTATTTCTTGTTAAAACCCCCGCAATTGTAACACCCTGTTCTGGAGGCACCGTGCCCTTGTGAATCTATGTTCTGGTGGCCATTGAATCTATGTTCTGGTGGCCATCTGCTATCATGTTACCTTATTAAGTTAAGTTATGTTATTAAACTAAAGAGGAACTATCAAATTTGACATTTTCCCCCTAGAGGATGATACTCGGTGCGGTCCGCATTCTAGCCCCCCCCCCCGTCCCAGTGACGCAACTAGTTATTAGTAGTTGCATATAAATTCCTTTAGTAAATATTTAAATATACAGTGGTACCTCGAGATACGAATTTAATTCGTCCCGTAACCTTGCCCGTAAGTGAATTTGCTCGTATCTCAAAGCAATGATCCCACATTGAAATTAATAGAAATGCCATTAATCCGTTTCAGCCCCCAAAATGCCACCTCAGTTGTTTTTGTTACGTGTTTTTGAATAAGAAAAATGTATTTGTAGATGACAAATATTGCGTAAATAAGTACTAAAAGAGAATGTAAAAAAATAAACTGGTTTTATATAGTGTATTTACCTTGGAAATCAGCTGACTTGAGTTTACGGAAGATGCTGGCGGAGGTGTAGGGTGGAGGAGGTAGGCGGAGGAGCTTCACTGCTTTCAAGTACCGGCTACACTGTTAATGCTAAACTCTTTCGGTCACTTTAATTCACTTACTCGTTACACTCTTAATGCTACACTTGATAAATAAAATTAATGGAACTTAACTAAACTTAATTAAACTTAAATGTCACTTTACCATTTTTTGTTACTGTTGTTTAATTTTCGTCACTGCAGCCGGCCGACCCGCTGATCTGGTTTCTCATATATCAATTTCAAATATTTCTCGTATCTCAAAGCAAAACGTCGCTCGCTCGACGGCTTGTATCTCAAAAATCTCGTATTTCAGGGCACTCATATGTCGAGTTACCACCTTATATATATCTAAAACTAAAATATA